GTGATAGTCATGTGACATACCATTACCTTTAATAGGTCTGTCTGCTAGGAACATAACTACTTCACTCCTTCCTCTTAATTCTTGAGGTACCACTACTGACAGTATATCATTAATACCTTCAATTCCTTTATGAACCTCAAACTGAACAGACTGAGCATATATTGAACCAGCTGCAATAAATAATGATAGTAACGATTCATCAAAAATGGTTAAGAGAAAATTCTTCATTTTTATTATTTAAAAAATATATATACATATTCTCATGTTGTGCAGCAAGTTTGAACTGATTCCGATAAAAGCTAGATCTTATAAAAATTTTTCAAGTTACTAAAAAATTAGGCTAATGTCCCTGTACTACAGTACAGGGTCACGAGTCAATTTTTGCCAAAAATGAAAAGATGAGAATTCTCCACTTTTATAATTTTTCCTGATGCATGTACATGTTCTTATGTTGTGTAGAAAGTTTGAGCTGATTCTGATCAAATTTGAATTTTTTACAAATTTTTAAGTTGCTCCAAAATCGGGCAAAAATCCCTGTACTATAGTACAGGGTCACGAGCCAATTTTTGCCAAAAATGAAAAACTGATAATTTTCTATTTTTATACTTTTTCCTGATACATATACATGCTCTCATGTTGTGTAGAAAGTTTGAGTTGATTCCAATAAAATTTAAATTTTTTATGAATTTTAAAAGTTGCTTCATACTATAGACCCCTTTAGGCGAGAATTAGTTTGTGATACCATAGATAATTAATACTACGTAACCGGGATAGGAAGATTATATACGGTACTGTATAAACACCAATGAATGACGTCATCACTCATGAATATAGGCTTGTTGTCCGATAAAATCAATAGTTAGCACCTGAAACAATTTTGTGACTAGCTCTTATGAGTGTTCAGAGGCTTATTTTGTTATTTTAAGTATCAGACAAAGGAGAATAATTGTTTGATTGGTTGATAAGTTGTATATTTTGTTCTGAAGATGGATAGAGAAAAGAGTGGAAAACAGTAAGTAATATTGATAATGTAATTTAAGCCTATTTTCTCACTATAAACACATATTCTACAAGGCATGATCCTATAATTAGGTTTTATGGTATTGAATAGATAGCTTAGCTTTTACCGTATAGCGTCAAATTTTCGTGGTTGAAAATTTTCGTGATTTTCGTGATTGAATGGACAATCACGAAAATATTTTTCACAAAATTTAATTTTGATATAAATGTGGGCGTGTCCCATCACACCTTTTATTTGCTTCTCGGGCACAGCTAAGAGTCTCTCCTATAAGTAAGGGCTTAGCCCAATAAAGGGAGTCCAACTTTCTTGGTATATGTGATAGCCACGGATACACGAAGGGAATTAATATCGAATAATGCTACCACTCATGTTGCTTCTTCTCCAAGTCCAGCTGCAAGGCTAGCTACTAGCGGCCACATAGATAGTAGTGGTTTTAATCATCACGAAATTTTATTTAAATCACGAAAATTTTTTAACGAAAATTTATTTGAAAGCAAAAATGTATGGAATCACGAAAATTTTCACCCACGAAAATTTGACGCTATACGGTACTTCATGGCTTTATTATGCTTTGGATGAGAATTTTATATAGTTCTATTTTTTATTTAATTAAAACTAACAATTAATGGTATCCTGATGGCATGATTTGTATACACATATTCTCTGAGCATCTAAGATCTATGATACCCATTTCCAGATTAATTGAAAGATGAGTTTTAGCAGTGTGACAAAGCATTATTTTATCAATTTGACTTACTTATCTAGGCAAGCTAAGGCTTGGCGTAAAGGGAAAGGGAAAAGGAGTAGTGCTAGGATTGGAAGAAAGCGGAAAAGTGTTGTGCCTAAAGAGGTTACATCAAGGGTTACATCTCCAAGTGAATGGGTTTCTTCACAAAGTGTTCCTAATGGATGGATTGTTGTGCAGCATGATAATGATGAAGAATTGAAGTTATGCCAGATTGTTTGTCTTGTTTGTCAAAACATACCAGATGTCTCTCCTTTAGTTGTTAGTCGTTCCCTTATTGTAAGAAGAAGTTAGAAGAAGGTAAAAGGAAAAGAAAGCCTGACTTGGACCCATACAGGAGTGTAAATGACAGACGTTTTAAGGTACATTTTGGTTTGTAGTACAATTATGAGCTAATGTTTTAAACATGCAGTGGTTAGTTGAGGATTTCTTGGGCTATCTTGATAAATGAAAAAAATCTGTGGAAGAAAGGGAAGGATTTAGCGTTGATGACAAAAAAAGAATGATGTTAAGTCAAGAGACTCTTGATGGAATACAAATGACAAGTACTAGCTTACACAATTTCTATAAAATAAAATTCAAGCATTGTTGCTTTTT